GGTGTATAAATAGTGCTTCAGTAAACATCCTTGCATAAATTTTCTTGGGAATATTTATTTTGAGAAGAGAATGTGTGAACTTGTGAGATCAAAGAACTGGAAGAATCTTTTATCACAAGCCCTGTTGCTTTCCTTCCATGAGGAATCTTTATGCAGATGTTATGCATAAGTCGTCGCTCATTCTCCTGCCCACCCTGGTTGGGGCTCTGACTCTTGGGGACACAGGCAGTGGGCAGGTGTGATTGTGCCTCCTGAGTTCTGGACCAAGCTGACGGGAACGGAACTGTTGGCTTATTGCATCAGACGGGGTCTGGTCCATGTGGACGTGGGAGTCGGCTCCAGGTCCTGGGATCCTCAGCCTCACCACTGCCCTTCCCGCCATTGCAGACAAGCCACATGGCCTGGAGGCATCACCATGTATACGAGGATCACGGCCCATCCTTCCCAGTTGGCATAGGCAGTGAGCCCTCCAGTTGCATGGGATGACCCCTTGCTTTTCCTGGGGGCAAGTGGAGACTCTGGTGAAGGGTCTCTGGGGGTTTGAGTGGCCTCAGAGAGTTAATGGGATGCCTCCCTCACCCCTCTTCCTTCGGGTTTGGCCAGACCTTGGGGAGCCAGGGGCCTGAGTAGACATTTTGTAGTTGCTGTATCACATCTTTGTTCAGGTCAGCGTCTTGAGAGCATCACCTGTTAAAATCTAAGACAGTGACTTAGGGAGATTGTTGTCTTAGGCGTGGGGACCACCCACGGTTAGCCCCGGGCCTCCAGGACACATGCTCAGAGGCCCACCGACTGCATTTGATGTGACCCGGCAGGTGTCTTTATATGATACTATTCTCTTTTTCTGAAAAGAGCCCTTGTTTGTTTCCAAAACAGAACAGGTGAAAAATGACAGATGACGCAGGCTGTGCTCTCCTGTGGGCATTTGCCCCTCTTTGGCTTTCCGTTTGAATCTGCGGGGGGCTGGCTTGTGGCACTGCTTGTGTGCACACCTCCCCTCTGGTGGCCTCCCTTCCTTCTCTGGACCCCTGCAGCCTCTGCCCTGGGAGGGCAGGGGCTGGTGGGCTCCCTGGAAGAAGGCCGGTGGGCACGGCGTGGGCCTCTGGCTCCTCTCCCGGGCTGGTGGCTGGTCGCTGGTCAGTGGTTGGTGGTAGGTGATCGGTGAGCCAGCTGGCTTTCAAGCTCCAGCATGGTGCACCCCCCCAAGCCTCTGCTGTCCCCCCAGCCCCTCCTGGAAGGTTCCCCATGCTGCCCAAGAGGACACAGAGAGGACGACTGCAGGGGGGCGGGGGACCGACTCTTAAGTCACCTTCCGGGCCCAGAGGACGAGTGATCATTAAGTTGGGTTTTCATTGTCCAAGGCCAGAAACCAAAGGACCCGATGGGGTCCCTGAGCCCTTCCCCACCTTGGCCGCGGCCCTGGGGACACCGAGGGCCGGCCCAGCCCCAGAGGTGTGAGTGTGGATGGTCTGCTCTGCAGGAGACGTGGTTCCTTGAGGGACACAGATTCCTGGTGTTTTCTGTAGGCCTCCTGTGCCCATGGACCCCTCTGTCCACACTGAGCCATGTCCCTCCGCCTGGGTGCTGGGGGGCACGGTGTGTCCGGTGGGCGGGATGACTCCTTGGGGTAAAGACGGAGGTGGGGGCGTCGCGCCTCGGTCAGGCTTCCTTTTTCCCGAGCCCCTGTGCACGGCCCAGACCCCAGGGATTCTGGCTGCGTCTGTGGAGGCCTGGTAGGGATGTGCCAGGGCGGGCAGAGGAAAGGACCCCCGGCTAGGGCCCAGCCCCGCTCTGCTCGCCTCTGTGGGGCAGCAGCTTGTCCTCTGGCTGAGTTCTGCAGGGACCCAGGTCAGATGAGGTCATGGGCTGAAAGTGCTTTATAAGCTAAAGTGAAAGTGTTTGTCGCTCAGTCATGCCAACTCTGCAACCCCACGGACTGCAGCCTGCCAGGCTCCTCTGTCCATGAGATTCTCCAGGCAAGAATACTGGAGTGGGTTGCCATTTCCTCCTCCAGGGGATCTTCCCGACCCAGGGATCGAACCCACGTCTCTTCTATCTCCTGCATTGGCAGAAGGGTTCCTTGCCACTAGCAACCACCTTTACCACTAGGCCTTAGGGAAGCCCCATGCCATGCTGCAAATGTGTTTCATGGATCACAGCCTGGTCATGGCGAAGGGGCTTGTGTTACTCAGTGGAGCTCTGAGCCATGAGTCTGTCACCTGAGATGGACAGGTCACAGTGGAGAGTTCTGACAAAACGTGGTACACTGGAGAAGGGAAGGGCAGACCACTCCAGTGAGAACCCCGTGAACAGTGTGAAAAGACAAGAAAATATGACACCGGAAGGTTGGACCCCACCACCCCCATCCCGCCAGGTTGGAAGGTGTCTTGTATGCTTCTCCTGAAAGAGCAGAGCGCAATTACTAACAGCTCCAGAAAGAATGAGGTGGCTGGGCCAAATCGTAAATGACGCTCAGCTGTGGATGTGTTTCATTTTAAGGAGATGGGGAAGAAAAAGGGGGTCACACCATAGAGCCACGCAGGAGAGCAAAGCCCAAGTCCTTCCCTCCCTCCCTCCTGAAGTCGGGGGTGCAGCGGGCACCATCAGTTCCTGGCTGCTAGCAGCCCAGGGTGGCGTGAGGGTCAGGGGGGCCTTGAAGGCAGGGTCTGGAGGTGGCCGCCCACCCCGAGGCCAGTCCAGGCCTGGTTTCTCAGAGGCGTGCGCTGTGTGTCCATGCCTCTCGGGGTCCTCCAGCTGCATCTTCGGACAGGCCATCCCACAGTGTCTTAGGAGGAGGAGTTTATTTGTCCTGACTTGACCGTGGGCTTCCCTTGTGGCACAGCTGGCAAAGAATCTGCCTGCATTGCAGGAGACCTGGATTCGATCCCTGGGCTGGGAAGATCCCCTGGAGAAGGGAAAGACTACCCACTCCAGTATTCTGGCCTGGAGAATCCCCTGGACTGTGAAGTCCATGGGGTCACAAAGAGTCGGACACGACTAAGCGACCTTCACTTCACTTCACTTCAACTTGACCTTGCTCATTTTCCATGCGTGCCCTCTGGTCGGGTTTTGCAACAGGTCGGTGGTCCCAGGGCCCGAGCATCTTCCTGGTGATGGGGGGAGGCTCTGAGGACCACCAGGCTTCCTGGCCTCGGGCCCCACGGCTCCACCACCTCCTCCTCGGAGGTCCAGCTGCGTCCATCAGCAGCAGAGGACGCTGAGGCCTGGTCAGGTCACCTGGAAGGGAACCAGCAGCTGCTTGCCGCTCACAGAGGCGAACAGACAGCAGCTGAGGGCCGGCTCCATACCTATGGTCCTAGGGCAGGTGCTCAGCTGTGAGTCTGAGCCTGAGGTGCCCTGGGCGGCAGCAGGTGGCTGGCCTCACTTCTGGGGTGTCTGCTCGTTTCCCCTGGAGGTAAAGGCATTACTCGCTGTCTGCGGGCAGCTCCTGCCTCTCCCCACCAGGGCAGGGCATTGGCCACTTAGCCACTTGGTCACTTTTGAATGTAGGGCAAGAGGTAAGCGAGTCTGTGCTTTTTGATAGGTCAGGAGTGGGGGAGGATGCAGCTTTGAGCTTCTGTCTGTTAGATTCTATCTTCAGCCCTTGAGTTCTGAGGTAGTCCTGGGAGAAAGGGGCTGGTGCCCTGGGGAAGTAGTGGCAGATGACGGGTTAACTAGACTCTCAAGAAACACTAATGAGGGAGGAGCCCGAATCCGAGCCCAGGATGGTCCGATCAGCAGATGGCTGCTCTCCCAGCTGGGTCTCTGTGGACCATTAGCTCGGCCGCTGGGCCCTGACTCAGGGACCATCCTTCCCCATCCTCTGGGACCTCTCGTGTGTGTCCTGGAGTCCACTTTAGATGAACTTGGCAAATAAGCTTGGCTTGCACTCAGTCCTTACCTGTGAGAGGGGAGAAGGAGGGACAGACAGACCCCCTACTCTAGATGGCGATGCCCATCAGGGCTCCCTTGGGCCGAGTGGTTTCATTTTGCAGCTCCTTCCTGTGGGGACGTGGTGAGGCTGTCCACCCAGGGTGGTGGTGGGGGCATTTCAGAGCCTTCAGGTGGGCAGGCCAGCAGGAGAAGACGGCCCTGGGCAGCTCTCGGAGCTGGTGTTCGTGGGCCATCTTGCCAAGGCATGGTAATGCCTCAGGCCTGGATTCTCCTGGGGGTTAAGATGGTGCCAGTCGAGAGTGTTAACCTCATGCCAGGTCAACAGGGAAGACCTTTGGGAAAAGCCAGCCCTTCCAAGGCCCACCAGCTTTGGGTCTTGGTACAAGTTGCTCTCAAAGCAGCTGGACAAATGAAAGATGGGAAACCAGCAGTGGCCCACCTTCGGAGATGGCCGGTTGGTGGCTCTGAGTTGTGAACCACTTGGCAAAGTCGGAGGCTGTGGATGGGGGCACAGTGAACCTGCAGGGCGGTCCATACACCATCCACACCTCCAGGGGTCTGCAAACCGCAGGCGGCCCGACACGGCCGAGCAGGATGCTTGTCACTCACCAGTGCAGGGAACAGATCCACCCTGTTCTTGGGTATGTGGGTGAAATGCCTCTGCCACCCACAGGGGAAAGAGAGCTGGCCACAGGCACCTCCGGGCCGAGGCTTAGCTGCCCGACGTCCCTCCCTCTGGCTCCCAGAATGTGTCAGTTTCACATCCGGGGCACAGTCCAGGCTGGTGACCTCTTGAGAACACAGTTCTGCAAAGACAGAGGAAGCAAACGCTTTTCACTCTTTGAGGGAGATGGATTCAGGTTCACATGGTTTTAGAACCCGGGTGTGTTTTGTTTTGCAGATTCTGTTGCGGTCAGTTTTCTTTTCTCCTTTCTTTGCAAAGCTACTTGGGAGCTAACGTGAAACTGCTGAGCACTGTTGACAGGAGTGCTGGGAAAGTGCTTTACAGGCCTGGAGCGTTTGCTAAGGGATCCATTCTTCTCTTGCATCTTTTAAAACTGTATTTGCTTTTGCGCGCAGGCCGTTGGACCACTGCCCTCAACACCATGGACCTGCATCTCCTGGACTACTCGGAGCCGGGGAACTTCTCCGACATCAGCTGGCCCTGCAACGGCAGCGACTGCATCGCGGTGGACACCCTGCAGTGCGGCCACATACCCAACAAGAGCGTCCTGCTGTACACGCTGTCCTTCATCTACATCTTCATCTTCGTGATCGGCATGATCGCCAACTCCGTGGTGGTCTGGGTGAACATCCAGGCCAAGACCACGGGCTACGACACACACTGCTACATCTTGAACCTGGCCATCGCCGACCTGTGGGTGGTGGTCACCATCCCCGTCTGGGTGGTCAGCCTCGTGCAGCATAACCAGTGGCCCATGGGCGAGCTCACGTGCAAGGTCACCCACCTCATCTTCTCCATCAACCTCTTCGGCAGCATCTTCTTCCTCACCTGCATGAGCGTGGACCGCTACCTGTCCGTCGCCTACTTCGCCAGCACCTCCGGCCGCAAGAAGAGGCTGGTGCGCCGAGCCGTGTGCGTCCTGGTGTGGCTGCTGGCCTTCGGCGTGTCCCTGCCCGACACCTACTACCTGAAGACCGTGACGTCCGCCTCCAACAACGAGACCTACTGCCGGGCCTTCTACCCCGAGCACAGCGTCAAGGAGTGGCTCATCAGCATGGAGCTGGTCTCCGTGGTCCTGGGCTTCGCCATTCCTTTCTCCATCATCGCTGTCTTCTACTTCCTGCTGGCCCGAGCCATCGCCTCCTCCAGCGACCAGGAGAAGCAGAGCAGCCGGAAGATCATCTTCTCCTACGTGGTGGTCTTCCTGGTGTGCTGGCTGCCCTACCACCTGGTGGTGCTACTGGACATCTTCTCCATCCTCCACTACATCCCCTTCACCTGCCAGCTGGAGGCCTTCCTCTTCACGGCCCTGCACGTCACGCAGTGCCTGTCCCTGGTGCACTGCTGCGTCAACCCCGTGCTCTACAGCTTCATCAACCGCAACTACCGGTACGAGCTGATGAAGGCCTTCATCTTCAAGTACTCGGCCAAAACGGGCCTCACCAAGCTCATCGACGCCTCCCGCGTGTCGGAGACCGAGTACTCCGCCTTGGAGCAGAACGCCAAGTGAGGGCGCCCCGCGCGGCCTCTGGACCTGTGCGCTGGGCTCCAGCGGGGGGACCGCCGGGCTGCGTGGTTTTCCGGAGGAAAGCCGAGTGGCTTCGGGCTTGGCGACCCTCGGTGGCGTGGAGAAGGGCAGCCTGCGTCCCTGTGGCTCCTTTCTCGCTCTCCAGCCGGCGTGACCCTTGCGGGGCCCCTGTGACAAGCCCCCGCCGCTAGTCACACCAGCTTTGGGAGAGGCTTGCCTGCACTTCTGTAACATAGGACTTTTCTGTGCTGCCTGAAGGTTTTATAATGGGGATTTGTATTTAAATCTTAAGACTCTATTTTTCTCACTCTCGATGTACCCTCTCGATGTATTTGAAAGTTTATATTTTAAATATCGTATGGGAGGTACCCATGCTGACATGTACTACTCAGTGTCGTAGTTCTGAGGTTAGTTTGACTTCCGTTTTGACTAAGGATGACATTCATTGTTAGCTGTTTTGAAAGCCTCTCTATATATAAATATATATAAATATATATATAAATATATATGCCAGTCTTGGCTGAAATGTTTTATTTACGATAGTTTTATATCTGTGTGGTGCTTTGGGCCGGTCTGGGATACGGAACGAAAACTGCTCTATAATGCGGTTTGTGACATTAATATTATTGTAAAGTGACGTTAAAGATAAATGCAGTGACACTCTTCCAGGCTGTAACGCGGCACACGAAACAAACCCTTGTATTCCAGAGAGTTCTTTCCATTTGTAAGTTATTTTTTTTAATAAAGATTTCTTTTTCCTAAAAACGTGTTTGGATCTCAATTTTCAAAGCATGTTTGGCATTCAGGTGGCATGTTTGATGATAATATACAAATATTTACAACGTAGGCGATCAACCTAGTAAATATGTTTAAAGGAAGGAGCACTGCCAGAAAAGCCAAACCCAGGTGGTTAACTTGGATGAAATTATGTGAAAGGAGGAACATCTGAGTGCGAGTGTTGTGGTTTAATTTTTTAAAAAATTTCTGCCTATGTTTAAGGGAGGGGAGCTGGTTGGTAGGTGCACCTGTCAATGCAAAATTGGTAAAGAAAAGTCCCGGTTTGCTGTCTGCCCAAAACGGTTTAGGGCCTGGAACTCACCCTCGTATCCGCCAGGCCTTGAACCTTCCCTGCTGAGGCTCTGTGGTTTAAGTCCTTTCTTTTTCTCTGGTCAAGACAGACTCTTCATTTAAAAGATCATCCATCCATGACCCTCTTCTTCAGACCATGCAGTAAGTACAATCACCAAATAAACCCACCTTACCAGTAGTCAGAAAGAGCTCTCTCAGGAAGCCCCGACTGTCTACGTGGGCCACAGGAGCGGCGCGGGGGCTTGGTGGGAGTGTCTGGGCAGGAACCCAGAGGAGGGCCTGGCTCCCCGATGCGGCCCCCCCACCTCCCCCTCTGATGGGACTGATGAACAGAGAGAGCTTTTGCCGACACAGAGGTGGACCCGGACCAGGACTCCAGGCTCACCTGGGAACCTGGGGGCTGCCCGCACTATAGCAAAATACGCTGAGCATGTCGCTTTCCATAGCAGACAGCCCCCCAGGCCCTGCTTCCAACCTACTGCAGGAGGGCTCCCCCTTCTCAGAGGGCTTAGGGCTGAGAGTTGTGAAACCCAGCTTACATGTTATTTTAAACACCTACTTGATACGCATATACACTCTCAGGTCCATGTGTCCCTTGCTGTGGTTTAGTCCCTAAGTCGTATCCGCCTCTCTACAACCCCACAGACTAGCCCGCCCGACTCCTCTGTCCATGGGGTTCTCTAGGCGAGAATATTGGAAGGGTTTGCCGTTTCCTTCTCCAGGGGAATCTTCCCGAGCCAGGGATCAAACCTGGGTCTCTTGCGTTGTCAGGCGGATTCTTTACCGCTGAGCTGCCGCCAGGGAATCCCTTGCCTTGTTCCAAATAGGATTCAGGTCAGATGGTAATAGAGCAGGTGGGTAATGACGTAACCACAGGTGAAGACACCAACGCCAGGGAGAACGGACGGGAGGATGGCGACGTGAAACCAGAGGAGATTATGACCCAAATACGTGTTCTTGATGATAGACAAGGATTGCAAGTTTGCTCTGTGCTTTCTAGTGGCCTAAATCCAGGCAGAAACATACTTACCATATAGTCAGTGCAAAGCAGGGTATGGATTTCACCCCCAAGTTCAGCTCTGTAATATGTCGTTCAGTCATGTCCAACTCTTGCAACCCCATGGACTGCAGCACGCCAGGCTTCCCTGTCCTTCACCATCTCCCAGAGCTTGCTCAAACTCATGTCCACTGAGTCAGTGATGGCATCCAACCATCTCATCCTCTGCCGTCCGCTTCTCCTGCCATCAGTCTTTCCCAGGCATCAGAGTCTTTTCTAATGAGTTGGCTCTTCGAATCAGGTGGCGAATGTATTGCTTCAGCTTCTGCATTAGTCCTTCCAGTGAGTAGTCAGGACTGATTTCCTTTAGGATTGACTGGTTTGATTTCCTTGCTGTCCAAGGGACTCTCAAGAGTCTTCAACACCACAGTTCAAAAGCATCAATTCTTCAGCCTTTTTTGTGGTCCAGCTGTCACATCCATACATGACTAGTGGAAAGACAGCTCTGTAATAGGCAAACAAAAATAATTCAATTTTGAGGCCCCATCTCTGCCATTCAGAGGCACCCCGCCCGCCCCCATCCCCACTGACATCTGCTGAGACGTCCTCTGGTTCTCAGGAGGGCTCCTCTGATAGTTCTGTTCAAGGGTCTCTCTGCCACTCCTCACTACGCTGGACCACAGCATACTTGGGTTACTGGGTAGGCTGCCACATGCGCTTTTCTGCATTCCAACCTCTTGAAACCTGTGAAAATCACCCGCGACTTCCTTCTGCGTGGAGGTGCGGAGGGAGGAGGAGGAACTGAACCTAGATACATCGTGTAGATTTCAGTCCCCTGTAGAGCTCAGCACACAGTGTCGCAGACCCCTGTGCGTCTCTTGGGTGCAGGCTTCATCTGCGGGATGCGCCAGTGACTAAGCCCTCTCTGCTCCTTCCAGAAATCCTCTTCTCCACCCTGCTTGTGTGTGTGCCTGTTCAGTTGCTCAGTCGTGTCAGACCCTTTGCGATCCCATGAACTAGTCCACCAGGCTCCTCTGTCCATGGGATTCTCCAGGCAAGAATACTGGAGTGGGTTGCCCTTTCCTCCTCCAGGGGATCTTCCCGACCCAGAGATCAAACCCACATCTCTTGCTTCTCCTGCGTTGCAGGCAGATTCTTTATCTCTGAGCCACCTGGGATCCCCCCTGAAGACTTGCTTATCCAGAGTGCAGTACTTTCCTTTGATCTTTGGTGTAACATCCCTCCAGGGAGCAATGGCACGGGACAATATGGCTGCAGGTGGGATGACCGAGGCCCAGGTCAAGGGCACGGAACATCAGTGGGGATGTCATCAATTAATATTTTAAACGTGGAGTTGGCAGAGCTCATATGCGCGGTTTGGGATATGTGGTGGCCACTGCGGGGAGATGGGCTAGGCAGAAGCCTGCAGCTCTCCACAAATGCAGAGGCCAGAGTCTGAATTCTGCCCTTCTGTCATTCTTTTGGCGCCTCTTGTGATGGGAGGATCTTTGACATGTACACTCTGCTGTATTTAAAATGGGTAACCAACAAGGACCTACTGTGTAGCACGGGGAAGTCTGCTTGGTGTTATGTGGTGGCCTGGGTGGGAGAGGGGTTTGGGGGAGAATGGATACAGGCACATGTATGGAGTCTCTTCACTGCTCACCTGAAACTCTCCACATTGTTTGTTAATCGGCCATGTGCTGTGCTGTGCTTAGTCATGACCCCATGGTCTGTAGCCCGCAAGGCTCCTCTGTCCATGGGGGTTCTCTAGGCAAGAAACCTGGAGTGGGTTGCTGTGCCCTCTTCCAGGGGCTCTTCCCAACCCAGGGTTTGAACCCAGGTCTCCCGTATTGCAGGCGGATTCTTTACCATCTGAGCCACCAGGGACGCCCTAGTTGGCTATACCCTAATAAAAAATAAAGAGTTTTAATAAAAAGAAAAAAAAAAGAAAGATCTTTGAAAATGCCAGCCTTCTGAGATAGTAATAAAACTGCTGGTGATCTAACAAGAGATGGCATTTGAACCCCATGTGGATGTCAGGAGCTCCATTGTGGGGTGGGGTCTGGGCTGGGGAGGAAATCAGCCATCAGATCCTCGATAGCTCTGCCTGGCGCTGGAGGTGGGGAAGCTTTTCTGCCCCCTTCCCTTTCACCTGACGCCCTACCCCAAAGGGCAGTAGGCAGGAGGACCACTGCAAGTCACCCAGGTGGCAGTCCATTGTCAGTAATAAAGGCTTTCCATTTGGTTCAAACTATAAGCTGTTTACTGGGTTCCCTGAAAATGAAGGAGAAACATAATGCGACTGAAATCACTGATGTGAAATCCTTTGGCACAAAGCGATTCCTGGGATGATGGACGTCAGTCCTCCCAGCAGCCTGGCCGCAAACCGGGATGAGGCCCCGTGGACGTCGGTGTTTAGTTCTCTGACTGAGTAGCAAGAAATTCTAAATCACTGACAGCTGGCCTTTTCTCAGAGTCTCCCCAGGAGAGAGCAGCTCAGTAGTGTGACCCCATTTTTTAGGCATGTGGAAATTCTGCCTTTGTTGGGCTCCTCCTGTGAGGGCACTGACCATCAATCATAGGTCCAGGAGACTTTCTGTCTAAGTTAAGCCTGACATCGCAGAATCTGGAGTCTCAGGTGAATCTGCCCTGAATGGAGTGAGTGCTGATGGTGGATTAGGTCAGGAAGGTCCCCAAAGTTCCCTCCTGGAAGGACCAAGCTTCAGTATGAGGCCCTAGGACGGTACCTCTGTATGGATACGAGCCACTGAGATCTCACCTCTCCTGAGCAATGGTAGCTAAATGTTTGAAACAATCCACCCAGTATTCAAAAACACTTCACTCCCCTTTGTCTGTGGTATTGGACCCTCCAAGGAGAGGTCCCATATACCTT